GTATTTAGTGTTCCCGCCCCCCCAGCCACAGCAAACCGCAGCAGTTTGCATTCCAGAAAGGGAGGCTGACAGCATCCCTATATGTTCTACTTCAGTCATGCTACTTAAATTGCACACTGGCCTGCCCTCGTAGTTTTGTGATTTTCTGTAACTTATTTACTGAAACATGCCCCTCCAGCCCTAAATCTGCACTGAGTCCAGCAGTAAAGAGCTGCAATAAAGAATACCCTAAATATACATCCAAGATTTACTAGTATCTGTAGGCACGTTTTTTTCTCAGAGCTGTTACAAGAAAACAATAATGTTTTAAATTTTCAAACAGTGAATGACAATGAAATGTAATTAATGACCTTGTGAAACATTTTGCTTTATGACCTTATTAAACATTATGTTTACTTCTTAATGAGTTCTGCAGTTGGAAATCCTAGAGCTGCCAAAACTAAATGAAAGTGTAGTAATAGCCAAAAGATGACTCTAAGCTGCACAGATCTCATCCTTCATGCTGCATGCTTTTTGTAATGCATCTCCCAGGAGGCCAATGAAAATTTTGTATGTTAAAACCTGAAAGACTGGGCTCTATTATAAAAAAAACCTGTCTTGTTTCTAATAAAAAGTATTTTAACTACTCTAGCATGACAGGGAAGCTTCAGGTATCATCTCTGTGACAAGCAGTTTAAATCTCAACCTCAAATATTTACTGTGTGTGATTCTGGTAGTTCTGATGCATGAAACAAAAAAAAAAAAAAAACCCAGCTTGATTTTCAGATCCTATGACAAGCAAAAAAATACCATATCATAGCTGTTTTCTCACCTCATCTTTACTCCTTCCAAGTCCTAAATCTGTTTTCTCATATAGGTTTTCAAGTGCTATGCTTTTCCCATCCTTGTGGTTAATTCCAGGTTAGCCCTATTATAGCTTCAGCCAATTGAATCAGATTAAACTACAATGTATCTAGTATGAAAAAATTTTTGAAAAACTACAGTGACTGGACACAAGCTTCTCAAAATATACACAACAAAATTTCAGATTACAAAAGGGAGGGGACTACAGTGAATTAATTTGGAATAAACCACAAAGTTATCAACTTGAACCTATTCTGTCTAGACTAATCAAAATATTACTGAGTATTTGGATGATAGACCTTCAAAACAGTTGCATGGAGGACTCTGTTAACTGATCCTGCTCTCAGACTTTACTATACCAGTGGCAAAAACACTGTATACTCCTAAGCTGCTTTCTTTGTTATATATAAAAACAAAGCAATTAAAGCAGTAACATTTAACATTTTTCACAAAGACAGATGTGTGAAACTCAGTGTTGGCATACTTGAAAGTGGATAATTGTATCATGCTTATTTCCCCTCAGGTTTAGTTGATATGAATTATTTTTTCAATTCCTTTCTAAGACTGTTGTGGAAGAAGAAGTGTTGAGTACTGTTAAACAGATGCTTCATCAGCACTGCAATAAGTTTTTTCTTAGAGGACCTATAAAACAATCTGTCTGGATAAAGACACAAGAAATAAACTGCTTTTGGTCGCAATGATCAGAAGATCATTGAATCATAGGCTCAGAACAAATGTTTGTCCAAAAAATCATTTTTCTCCTTCTGACCAACAGTCATTGCTCACTGATGTTTGTCTAAGCTTTTTTTCAAAGATTTTCAGAGGTTGAATCTCCCTAATCTCCTCAGAAATCAATTCCAGTACTTCTGCATTTTAATTACAAGGAAGATTTTTTTAGTATGTGATCTGTATCAGTGCATTTGAGATATGTTAGTTCCATCTTCTTTGTAGAAAACTTGACAGAACAAAAGAATATTAAGTTCTGACTCAGTTGGCTCTTTTTCAGTCCACACATCAAATTATTTCAATCTTTCTCCTCATCTCTCCTCCATTAGATCTCCAGTTAGTCTTCATGATGTCTTCAGGACTCCCTGCAAACAACTTCAGCCATCATGAAGTTCAGTGCCAAGGACTGTAGCCAGTAACTTAGCTAAGGTACTAGGAACCCTGAACAGAGTGGGAGGACTGTTTCATACATTCTGGAAAGCCATGCTCCTATTCATGCATTCCTCTGTGACATCTGCCTTTTCCACCTCTACCCGGCACATGATCCATGCTTCTCTCTAGTCTTATTCTAGAGAAGACAATTGTTCCTCATCCTGCGTTTCTCCAGCTGATTATTGATGTATGCATGAAACACCTCATATATGTCCATACTGACTACTGCCCTACCTTCTCACACTATGGCATTCACCAATAATATTCTCATTTATTGATGAGAAAAGGATATTATAAGCACAGTCAGACTCGAATTACCAGCTTTTACATCTCAACAAAGAGCATAGTTCAAAACATTTTCTTTTTTTTTCCAGTGGAGAATATTGAATAGAAATTAAAGACATTTTATTTTTCATTGTGAAACCAAAGTATTTGGTTTGGTATCTACAAACTTTATGATCTTAGCTGCATTTAGACATGTATTTACGCTTTAGGAACAAAAAATATTTTGTGTGTGTGTGTGAAAATACTAATTTTTCTCTAGAGACATAGTTTCAATTTCATTTTTTTCAAGAAAACACTTGGCAATTCCCTCCCATTACTTTCTGTTTGGCAAACATCTTCATTCTACTTCCTCTTGCTTCTCTTATCTGGCACAATCCCATAAGCATCCTGAAGAGACGTGATATGTCTGTCTGGAATTGCAAACCCTGCTTCTGTATTGACAAGATTAAAAATTTAACGCTGGACTGTTTTTTGTACTAATTTTCTGCTAGAGCATTTAGTAAATCAGGACCAGTATTTCCATCTCCCTCTCCTCCCCACTGACTCTTGCCCTTACTGTAGTTTGCAAGAGGAGACCAAAGCTCCATCCTCCTCAGCCTTCCTGTCCAAGAAAAGGACAGAGGGGAGAAGCATCCCTGGATGCCTGGACCCAAAACAGGAGAACCTTTTTCACTGATACATTGTTCAATTTCAAATCACATAAATAATTATACTTTTTTCTGCTGATATGGCTTCTTCATACTGGAAGCATAGCAGTATCACAATGTTTTTCTTGTATTTAATGGGCCTGAATGCCATATACTGCACATACCTTTAACATCGTTTTCTAACATCTTGGCTTCATTAAGGACCCTGAAGCTTTTCTGAAGAGAGCTCTTGGCACCATCCTTCAATGATCCTTGAGGACCAGATGTCTGTAGACAAACAAGCAGTGTCATACATACAGGAAAGTCTGAAGTCATAAAAGATACATGAAGATGATCTAAGTGAGTGGTCATCTAAATTTTAACCAAACATCAGTGAGCTCTGAATTATATCCCATTGCCCTTAAGTTGGTCTGCAAGACACACAAAAACAATTACTCTAATTAATTTCCTTTTGTTTTTACGGGAAGCCAGATCTCCTTTGGAATACCAGTGATAACTTTAATAAGAAAAGAAAATATTTATAGTGTTAAACAGGTTTGACTCTAGGAGCAAAACTTTGTCCAAAACAAGCAAACAAGAAGATATTTCAACTTGAACATGGGTTTCTCCCTCCAGCTATGGATACAATACCATTCAATACATTATTTCTCCCTAACAACAGCTACAGCACCTTTAGAAGCCAGACTGGATCTGATGATCCAAATTCTAATATTGGCAACAGAAATACCTTTGTGGTTAAATTCAAGAACTGTAATTGCTAAGTCAGTAAAGAAAAGATGATCTAAAAGAAATAGAGTTTAAAAAGAAGGCCAAATTGCAGTTAATGTGAAAGAGTTTTATTATTAAATAACCATCATTCATCATATCATGCTACTTAAAGATCTGTCTTTTGAAAAATACCCATCTCTCTCTCCAGTGCAGAGATTGATCAATAGATAGAATAATTTTCCTAAATTAGATTAGTATTTTTAGTTGGGAGCAAATGCTCTAGGTTCTGAACAACTTACTGTTCAATTTGTAAATCTGAACTCATGTCACACATCATACTGAATACATTTCTTTGAGAATACTCCTGACAGCCAGATAACATTCTGTATTAGTCATGGGTCACAGCCTTGTAACTAGTATGTAATTAAGAAACAGCTACTTTTCATTTTCCAGGGCAGATACATATACTCAGAAATTAACTGTGTGACAATTAAATGACACAGTTATTATTGCTATTCATTATTTATATAATGAGCAAGCCCAGAGGTGATATTTCGCATACTACTGAATTTTTGTTGGTTTTTGATGACACTGTAAAAACCATATATTGGACTTGCCCATTTCTTTTTCTTTTAAAAATCTTAGGGAATAATTTGGATACTTTCAAAATCCAGAAGCAAGTTTTCTGTTACAGGATATCTCATAGCATATGTTCTCATGTCACATGGATATACCTGTTAAAGATTCCTTGTATTCAGCCAGGATGTAAATGTATGCTTATCTTGCATCATAGGCTGAGTGATTTTAAGAAGTAAAGCCTACATGACTGCCGTATTTCCAAGCTCATCTGAAATATTAAACTATGTACACAAATTCCTTTCAACATCACCAGAAAACATACATTTGAAAGACGAACAAAAGTAGTTTCTTATAGATTTTCTTTATCATGTAATACAAGTAGCATTGGTAATAGAAAAATACACATAAACTCGGCAAAAAAAAAAAAAAAAAGACTATCCAATTAAGCAAAAGACTGTTCCTGAAGTAAGAATGTTTGGCCAGATTTTGTGGCAGATGCACCTGTCAAATCAGATAATACTTCTATATTCCTTTTCCCATTAGCAACAGAGCTGAGGGTACAATCACTCTGTGACCATGGACTTCAGAAATAATGATTGTTATTATTAAATGACTAGGCACGGTTGAATGGCTGTTTCAGCAGTTTATACTCAATATAATGCAGTTGAAAGGCCAGATTTACAATGCAGAACCAAAAAGTTTATCAAATCAGGGACAAAAATCTGGCATGTGCTGACAATTAGTCAGAAACAGATTTCAGTGTAAAGTTAATACTAGAAAAGCCCCTTCAGAGACAAATACACGTGCACTGATTAAAACCTTTATTTTATATTTATTTTTAAATGATTCTGAAATTAAGGATGTTTTAGTTTCGGCTGCCGCCAGCAACAAAAGCGCCACGCGGCCCCCCCCCCCCCCGCCCGG